GCTTTTTTCATAGTTTTGAGTCAATCTTTTTCTCTCTCACACACGTCCCCCCACCCATCCTCCATCTATCCATTTTCTCCATCCATTTTCTCCATCCATTTAAATAAGTTTGATGAAGCCCTTGGTCTCTCGTACCTTCCTTTCCCTTGTTAACTTGATCCTTTCCCACGTCCTGCTTGCTTGCATTCATTTCCAGAGGAAGCCGTCATTCAAAGCCTCGGATTGATTGATTGCTCGGAGCTATTCCACAGCTGTAGCCAATTAAGCAGGTTTATCTCTGATCTCTGAACGAACAGAGAATTTACGAGTGCCTGCTGCAACCAGGAAGTAACAGGGAGAGGTGGCTTATAATTTGAGGTTTGGCTGCAGGGTTGGAGGTTAGCGCTCTGCTCATTACCCCCAGGATTTTCACTTTTACCCCATTTGGGGTAATTGACCCCTGTTTCCCGACCACTGCCTTAGTGGTAGAGAATAACTGGTTGCAATAAGGATTGGATTATTTATGCCCTTCAGAGTTAGTCCCCCAGAGGGTCTTGACTTCTCAACAAAGGGTCATTGTTTCTACTTGCTCGGAATCTCCCATTGTGCCTTCTAGGAAGTGTGGTGAGCAATTGTTTGGTGTCCCCCCATTCCAGCCTCTCCATTCTAAACAATTAAAAGAAGAGGCAAAGTGGCAGTCACGAAAGCAGCAAAATCAGGGAGCTGGACAGGGGATGGATTGTATTTGTCTTCAGTGTGGAAAGGATTGTCACTCTTGAATTTGCCTCCTCAGCCACACTAGATGCTGTTCCAAGTCCTCCATACAGAGCACGTGACCATAGCCTCTCGAGAGTGAAGGATGTCTAATTTTATAGATAAGCAAAAGAGGTCAAGCTCTGCAGCTTGTCTCTATGCACCCGTTCCCTCACTGTGCCTGTCACTTGCCTCTCCAGGGCTGTGGCAGAGTCCAGTCTAACATAGCCTTGTCCAAGCATGTGGCAAGTCACTTGTATCTGACTCCTTTCACAAGCAAACAAACAAGACATTTGTAGACAACTACTGTACTAGTATTCTCCTCTCTTCCATCCTCCTCTTTGGAGTTAGGCAATTATACTGTGCCTTTCATGTCATGCCCTTTTATTCTCCTTAACTCTGCCTCCTCCAGCTGTTTCTCATCAGGGGACTGGCTTTTTTTCCAGCTGCATGGGCCTGATCCTGAGAAAACATAACCTCCTCCCAGCTGCTGGATACTTGTGTGCTGGAGCCAGATGGCTTGCTAGGGGTTTCCGCCTGCACCTCCTCACACATATGTCATCAAGAACACAGAATTTGACTTCTAAACATTAGCTGCTGTTCTAGTTGCTTCTGCTCCTATGTTCAGTGTTTGTAGTAACAGGGTTACATCTAGCCTAAGATGCCCAGATTCTTTGCCTGAGGTCACAATATGCATAAAAACTAATCCTGCCTTTGCCAATATTCTGCACCTTTGGATATGGAAGTATAGAGGTCAACCACAGTGTAATCAATCAACTGAGGAGATGTTTAACTTATTCTCAACATCCTTCCCCATATTTTGGTCTGTTAAAACATACACAGATCAGTCTTTTAAAAACCCAGATGCTGAATAAAAATGTAGAAAAATTAGTATAACTTTTGCATTTTTGTGGCCATCACTTCATGTGAAAGAAGATGATTTTGCAAACAAAACCTTGAGTTTGTGTGGTGCAACAACTATCCAGGCTCTTGAATGAAAAACTTTAATAACACTAGTTTAGTACATTCAATTTTCAGCAGGTAAACACTTCTGGGAAACTTGATTGGACAATTTTTCCCAGAAATGTGTATACTGGTATTTAGAGATGTGTACATTCTTGTGATATTCACAGTCTACATATTTGCTATGCTGGAAAACTCGTCTTTCCTCTCACACCTGGAATATCTCGTGCTGCTGCTGGGTACTCCCCATTAATGTCTGCAGCATGCTTTGAAAACAAATTGCTTAAGACCTTTAAACCTAAGCCAATGTTTTAATGTTGATTTTGAAAATATTCAAACCAAACATGTTCATTATTTTGCATTTTGTTGCAGTGGGTTATTATTGAACAAGGATGTTACACTTACTCTATAGCAGCTGTACCCCTGTATGATACCCTTGGAACAGAAGCTATCACTTATATTGTAAATAAAGGTATGTTTTTAGATTTTTGAACAGTTGAATAGATTTATCTCCAATACTGTCATTACTCCGAAGCTTCTCTAGACCTTCGGAAGTACTGGAAATAATTAATTTTGCAACTATAAAGGATTTTTGTGAAAGCTTCAATAGCAGCAGAATATCAAGGAGTAGGATCAAGTAGACTCTAGTGCAGTGTTTCCCAGCCCTGAGCATTCTTGGACTGTAATTCCCAGAAGCCTTCACCACCAACTGGCTGGGATTTCTGGCAGGTGCATTCCAAGAACACCTGAATTACACAAGGCTGGGAACCACTGCTCTAGTGAACTGGGCAGAAGCAAGCTGGGAATCACTGCTCTAGTGAACTGGGCAGAAGCAAGAATTCTCAGAGTAAAGAGAACTGAATTGAGAGATTCTGGTATTCTCTGGAGTCAGAATAGTAGAGGAGAAGCAGTAGTTTAAATAGTCTTGTTAATAATCTTCCACATAGAACCCTTCTCAGATTCTCTGCAGCAAAATGGATGTACAATATGCAGATTATAATGGACCCTTTTAGAGTGTAAGATGATTTGAAGTGCAAACTGGATGTACAGTATGCAGATTAGAATGGACCCTCTTAGAGTGTAAGAAGATTTTAACTAAAACTAAGCATATCTGACTTCTTTCTTTCCAATTTAGCTGACATAGCTTTGGTTTTTTGTGATAAGCCCGAAAAAGCTAAGCTTCTGCTGGATAGCATAGAGAAGGGAGAAGTGTCAGTCCTCAAAACTATTGTGATCATGGACCCCTTTGACACTGATCTTGTGGCTCGTGGGCAGAAGTCTGGAGTGGACATCATCACTCTGAAAGAAATGGAGGTAAGCCAAGCAGTTTCTGGATAGCCTCAAGTTCTAATCATAAAGCTAACTGCCTTAAGTCAGGGCAGGAGCAAACTTTAGCTAGTTACAAAATAATGTTCTTTGACCAACAGAGTAAATGATCAAGGTAAGATTTTGCACAATAAAGACAGGACCTTCTGGCCAGGTTACAAATTGCACCTGATATTTCACAACAGATAGATGATTGTAAACATTAGCTAAGACTGGAGATAACACAATCTAATACAGTTGGTTCAAACATTGTTAGTTTTAAAGTAACTGAACTTCATAAGCATTCAAGTGAATCTCTCTAGTCCTAATTCATAAAATATCATTGTAACAAAAATCTGAATTTATTGTATACACAGCGTGGCACTATATGAAATGTGTATATTGGCATCTCATCTCAGTTGAAACCTAATACCACAAGACGAAGCCAGTTTTTCAAGTTTGCAGTTGTCTGTCTTTGAATTTTATTTTTACTGCAGCTTAAGAATCTATTCAGGATGATATTGTGTTTCTGCCCCCCGACCCTTGTTCTACTGTGCCATGCAGGACTTGAAAGCTCATATTTTAATTACATTTTAAAGGTCCAAAAAACTGAGTATTCAAGCTCATTTTTGGACTTTGCAAGAAAGCCACATGGCTCTGTTTCTTTTTTTAATTTCTTTTTTGTACAGTGGTGCTTTGCGATGTTCCCTATGGGGGAATTTGTCTTTGCGATGATCAGCTCCCTGCTTCGGGAACCGATCATCACAAAGCGACCATTTTCGCACAGCCGATTGGCGGTTTCAAAATGGCTACCCGCTGTTTTCTGGGACGGATTCCTCACTTAAAAGGCACCGAAAATGGCCGCGCTATGGAGGATCTTCGCTGAACTGTTAGTTTTAAGCCTCTAGGAATGCATTAATCAGGTTTTCATGCGTTTCTGTGGGCTTTTTAATATCACATAGCGACGTTTTCATTCAATAGCGATTTTTGCGGAACGAATTAACGTCGCAATGCGAGGCACCACTGTATTTTATTGCACTTCTTAAGGATATTATCTGTGAAGATTCTCAGTCATCCAGGTGAGGTTATCTGGAGTTTGAGTCATGGCAACTGGGCCTTTTTCTTATTAGGTTGAAAGATCAGGACCACACCCACCAGAAAAACACTGATAATGCCTGTTAACAACCCATGACAATGGGTGGAGAAGGACTGCAGAGGTGGGATTTTCACTCATCCCCACTGCTGTCCATTGTCCATCTAAGGAGCCTATTCAGACCAGGGGGAAGTGAGACCAATGTGGAGGATATATCAGGGGTCTCCTACTAACACTCTTCAGACTGAAGGAGCTACTTTAATGAATAGTGAAATGTTTCAACCTAATAAGAAAGAATTCCAGTTGCCATGACTCAACTTCCAGATTCTTAAGGGTCTGTAATGCAATTGTCAGTAAACATTCAGCTAGAATCTATGTCAGTGAGTGAGGGGCAAGATAATTTCTCAGAGTCTTTAACATCTGTATGATATAACATTAAATGATACCCACTTCTGAGTATCTTAACTTACCTAGCAGAGCTGATGGTTATATGTTTTCAACTGCTTAAACTATTGTGTAGTTGCAAAATCTGGAGCATGCCTGACACTTCTTAGGGTGACATGGTAGCTATGGGAGCAGTCTGATGCTCAGTCCCCTTTGTATTAATTAAGGATTACCATTGTGACCAGACAGAAGAAGAGCAGCTACAGATCCTCTGCTTAGCATCTTGGAAAATGTAATTGCAAAAATAGAAGCCAAATGAGTTAATATTTGTTAGCAGCACAGATGTTATTTCTGGAAAAAGGTTAGCTTATCCTTCTTTATCCCCATGGGAACCTGTTTACGCTGGATCTCTGTGACCTTATTCTATTGGCCAATGTAGGAATTCACTCTAGTACCTCCGATGTGGAAGTCTGAGTCATATCATATTCTTGTCATTCCTCTTTCCTTACTTATCCTTATCACATCTTAGTGTCCTCAGAAAGTTGAACCAGAGGGCATTCTGTTGACTTTTGAATGCTATACTATCAGCTTGACTTTTGCTTCATTTATTACTTGCATTAAGAACTTAATGTACTGTAGTTACAGTGGAAGAGGTAATTTAAAAAGTAAGCAGTTAAGAATTTGTTGTGTTTCATTTACTTTTCCAGTGCATGGACCAAGATGAATGTTGGTATCAGTGGACAATAGTGTATCAGTGCTAATCTAGATTATTCTTGAAATGTTGCATCTGATCAAACAAGTGTACTGTGTGGTAACTAAAAGTGTTAATCAGTTCTACTTCACCAAATAAAGCAGAATATAAGAATGTGAAGACTTTGTATAGTTCCGATGATAATCTTTGCCAGACTTCAATACCTGAAACTGAGTTATTTTGCTCATTCTTTAAAAAAAGAAAATGTGCAAATGTTTACAAGCTCTTAAGTAAAAACGTTTACAAGCTCTTAAATAAAACTAGTTTCTGACCAAAACTAATTCTCTTTGAAACAGATATGAATAGCATCTCTGTTCGAAAGAGAATTAGTCTTGGTCAGAAACTAGTGGCTGACCAAAATCCTGTTCCATAAATCAGAGGTTGTCAACCCCCAGTCTGCGGCCCTGTGCCAGTCTGTGGCCTGAGCTGGACTGGGCCATGGAGACAGACCTCCCCCCCACTCACTCCCCTCCCCACAGCTGCTTTGCGCACACACGCGCATGCCAGTGCCGGTGTGAGCACTCCCCCACCCCTTCACACATGCGCCTGAGCATGCACACAGGTGTGCAGGCACTCCTGCGCATGCGGGAAGGGGTGGGGGAGCACTCACACTGGCGGGTGCATGCGCACTCTCCCACTGCTTCACGCATGTGCCCAAGAGCACGTGCATGCACCTGTGTGAGAACGGGGGGTGTTCCACCTTCCTCAGAGGCTCAGCTGGTCCGCAGTCCCAAAAAGGTTGGGGACCGCTGCCGGAAATTACACCTGCATAAGGGTGATGATATTATGGTGGGAAAGATTTTCAATAATTGCCATTCTGGAATAGGCACAGTTTGCACACAATGAGACAGATTGTGTGAGAGTCAGATGAGCTGTGGAACAGAAAGAAATTACACCTCCATAAGGGTGATGATATTACTGGTGGGAAAGATTTTCAATAATTTCCATTCTGGAATAGGCATAGTTTGCACACAATGAGACAGATTATGTGAGAGTCAGATGAGCTGTGGAACAGAAACAGATACTACTTAATTACAAAAAAATCTGCCTTGCTGCTCACATCTCACCACCCTCATGCAGGTGTGATTATAGAACAGGACTTTGGCCACTGGAAAATAGTCATTCTTGGAAAGGACTTGTAATGAATGCTCTGACAACGGTGAAGGTGTTTTTAGGTTCCTGATTAACTTGCTATTTTTCTTTCCTTTTTTCAAAAAAAGGCATTGGGAAGAGCCCACAAACACAAACCCGTAGTAAGTACCATGCAGATTTTAATACATTTGAAATAGTGTATAGTTTAAAGTCAGTAATCATAAACCATATCTACATTGTTCTTCTTTTAAAAGCTAAAATACTAGTAATCAATATCTTGTCTTTAGCTTCCAAAACCAGAAGACCTAGCCATAGTCTGTTTCACCAGTGGAACTACAGGTAAGTTGGCAGCACTTAGAGTTAAGTTACGGTGGAAGCAAAATCTGTCCATGGGAGGCATTCCTTTTAAATCACATGGAGGATAAACATAAACATTTGTGGTGAACCGAGTTCTATTAATCTTTCATAAATTAAGCTGCACACTTTAGTGTGAGTGACTTGCCATTCTGAGATATTTGGTTTGCAATCTAACGCAGAAAAGCATTGTTAATTTCTATAAAAAAGGTACTTTGGTAAATTATTGTGAGACTAAGTGTTTGATCATATGTACAAGCTTCTGAGAAAGAGGTAAATGTTGTATGATTAGTGAATTTCTCTAGCCTTTAAAATATCCTATGGATATCCTTTCATAAGCTGTTGACGGAAATAGAAGTATAGTGCAACTCCTTGTCTGGATTCATCATTTGTTTGTTTGTTTGTTTGTTTATTTATTTATTTATTTGGTTTATACCCCACCTATCTGGCCTATAAGGCCACTCTAGGCGGCTTCCAATATAATATAAACAATAAGATAATACAAAATATTACATAGACCATATTATAACAAATACAATAAAATAGAATAGAGAATAAATAGAGGGAAATAATAGAAAAATAAGATAAACAGAAAAAATCACTTTTTAAGAGTGCGTTTAGTAATTCAGTGTCTGCAGAACTCTGTTACTGTACATTTTAACAACCTTTTCCCCTCTAGGAAATCCAAAAGGAGCAATGCTTACTCACCAAAATATAGTGAGCAATATGTCAGCATTTGTGAAAGCTACAGAGGTAATATTTGCTGATTTTAAAATATACTAAGACTTCAGCTGTAGCCTCTTTGGAAATTAGACACTGAAATATTTCATTGTGTATAGTCTCTGTATTTCTGAAGCCTGGCATAATTAGGTTTCTGACATCAGACAATTTTCAATGTTAAAGTTTCTGTAAGTTGCATTGTAGTTGTGTACTTAACTGTCCCCTTCAGTTTTAATGATATGGCTGTGCTGAGTTTTCTCAGGAGGGAGAAATACTTTCAACACAGATGTTGGTATCACATACTTCATAGTGGGACTTTAATTGGACTGGACTTTGTTGAATGTCATCTTCATCTACAGCAGTGGTTCCTAACATTTTTTTCACTTACATATCCCTTGGCAGTCCATTTCCATAAATTGTACCCTTCATATTGGGGCCGGGGCTAGGAGGGACTCTCCACCCTCTTGTCTTCAGGCTGCTTCCTCGATGCCCCTGGAAATATGCATGGATGCACCAGTGAAGGGTTTAAAATCCGTAGGGAATTTTGTGCAGTGCAAACTGCTGCCAATAGGGAAGGAGCAGGCAGCACAAGCCCTCAGGTTAGTGGTGGAACAAGAATGGGCCGTGCCTTGGAGTGAAAGCCAATTGGCTGGCCTTCCACATGGTGGGCGAGGAAAGAAGAGGCCGAGGGGTTCCTCATTGTTCAGGACAGAACTAAGTGATTTACTCTTTTCGCGTATATGCCTTTTTACTGCCATTATTCAAAACTTTTGTGTACCCCTAAAGGTCCTGGTTTGTATGTCTAGGGCTACACATTCCTCAGGTTGGGAATCACTGACCTATAGGATTTGTGAGATCATGGTTAGAATCCTATTGGGATTTTATGGAAGAATAAGTACAATCACATAAGTTGTAGCATTCAGTTAACAAGGCATCAGTCACTTGCCTGTTCTTGTACTGGTCACACAACCAGCACCTTGTTATTAGCTGCAGTTTGCTGCCTCAGTTTATACTGGCCATTGTCTGTTAACTACTCTAATGTTGCATTCTTTCTAACATATTTTCTGATAAATGTGTACTGATTTTGTTTTTAAATTGGCATGTACTGCATGTGGGATAGAGCACAAAATAATTCTGTGATTTTATCACGTGCCTCAATATTAGCAGCAATAACAAAATAAATAAATTATACTTGTCCCATATGTTCCTAAAATTGAATGTTTAACCTGAGTAAGAAAGAGCTTTGAGGCGAATATTGAATATGGGTTTGTGTACTGTGATTGCTGTACAGTTGAATTCTGGCTATCTCTTTAAATGAACAAATTATAAATTTGATTCTCCTGTAATTGGTTTCTCTTTTCTTTTTCTTACTGTTGCTTTTGATGGCAGAAAGCAGTTTTTCCTTCTACAGAAGATATCTTAATCTCTTTCTTGCCCCTGGCCCATATGTTTGAAAGAGTTGTGGAGGTAGGCAGTTTTATTTCCTATGTAATTTCCTTTTTTTGCAGAGTGGATATGTAATGAATCCCAGTGACACACACATTTCCTATTTGCCTCTTGCACATATGTTTGAAAGGATAGTCCAGGTAAGTCTGTCTTTCAATGGGTGATTAATGTTTGTCAGCCTGCTTGCAAATAAGTACAGCTGTGTACTTAAGGAAATAGCTTAACCCTTAAATATTATTGAGGATAACAGATAACATAATATTTATCCATTGACCATGTTGAGTGATGGTGGTGGGGATTGTAATGCAAGAGACCCAAGTTCTGAGAAGAATGACTTATAGTTAGAAAAGCAATATAACCCAAATTTTATTTCTTAAACTGGTAACAGTCTCCGATAACAATCACTTCTTCTAAACATATCACAAGAAACATTATACAACACCATAGCCAACATCCTGTTGCTTTGTTACAATTGCAGAGGACAAACTGTAAACTACAATGGGTTCTCACTTCTAATTAATGAATCCCTGCTTGGATTTTCAGGCACACACCAGTCTGATAGATTGATGCGTGCCTGAAAATCCAAGTGGGTACTAATTAATTGTTGGTGAAAAACCATTGCAAGGTATGCAGTTAACCTTCTGTAGGTGCAACTACACAAGATTTTAGCATATTTATACTATAAAATATGCAACCATGTTCTATTAATTAACATCTTTGAATTGTGTAGAGTCATTTAGTTCAAGATATAAAAGGAAGATTTCTGTAAAGCTAAGGGACTTGCAACAAACCAAAATCAGACCTCAATTCAAAATGTCAGCTTTCATCTCAGCTTAGTTTATCTCTTACACCATTTGTTCCATGAACATCAAAAATGATGTAATTTATGAATATGTAGCTTGCATAGGTTACTTTAACAAACTGACTTTTGTCACCTTCTTACTATTGATTCTGCTGATCTCAGCAGAAGAGAAAGCTGCATTAAGGCATGTAAATAAGCTTTCAGGGTTTTGTGGTTACCCACTTTCTGGTGGAGATACTTGCACACAGAACACTATAAAACTAACTGTGTTTAGGTGTGTTTACATACAAGTTTCACTAAAATGATAGAAGAAGTTCATATTGACCACTTGCAGGATGAAAGGTTAGTATCATGAATGATCCCTGTATGTATCTTGGAGAGAAGGCTAGCTCTAAACAAGCGAGGGGAAGATAATAAAGTTGCTGCTACTCCTATGACACTAAATATGCTTTACAAATACAAAATATTTTATATTTAATATCTAGTGGAAAAAATTCTTCTGACCTTAATAAGATAAGTAAATAGAAAATTCTTCCGTTCATATGCCTATAGTTTAAAGCACTTAATACTGTGTTCCCATTCCTCTCCTTTGTCTTGATTCTGAAAAGCACAGCATAGTTGAGTAGTATCTTTTTGGAGAGGGGAAGGATAAATATCTTATCTATTAAAAAGGCAATGGAGTTAAGCTACAGTTTGGTTTAGCCATAGTGGCATCTAGCTGTGGTGATCAGAATTCACTGGTTTTATTGAAAGCCCTGCTATAAGTGACTTCCTTGTTAAAAGAATGAAGGGAGGTGGGAAAACTGTTCTTTTTGTTCCAGAATGCACAGCTCTCTCATCAGAGGGGCACTGTCACATGAATCACCAAGCCACAACTCTGTTTACTTCATGAACTTGAGTAACTCATTATAGCTAATGTCCTCTGAATGCTTTCTGAGGGAATATAGCTTTATCAATGAATACCTGTCTAGAATATTTTAAAAACCAAACAGATGCGTTAACAAGCACACTATCTGTTTTTGTGCTGGAACAGCTCCTTTTTTCTAGTTGTCCCCTCCATACCTCAGTAACCATGAGTAATGCAGGTCCACAAGTAAACTATTTTGGGGATGTAGAAAGCATTTTTCTATATTAACATGTATTCAGATATATTTACAAGCAAGCGTAGTAAACAACATGTTAAATATCATGAAACAATATAGAATGGTCTCATGCCTTTACACCCACATATATAGGTTAAAATCATATTATGAAAAATTGTTTTTGTGAGGGCAGGTTTTGCCTTTTGCTAGCTATTTATTTGTCAGGTCGTGGAGTGAATTGCATAGCCAAGAGATGACTGGACGTGTGATGAACAGCCAGCAAAATATTACTACTGCTTGCATGATGACTCTTACAGAATTGTGCAATAAAACATTCGTTTAGCCATATTTTTTAAAAGAAAAAACCAGACAGTTTAGGAAAATGTGTAACTGATCTACCAGGTGGTGAAGGTATAAACAAACAACTAGAGAATGCTCCAGCATCTGGGTTGGATTCCAGTAAAGAAGCAGAAATGATTTCTATAGTACAGACTGGAATTGCTTAGAGTGAGTGAAGCGGCATACCATTTCCCTTCTAGGAAGGGAATAACTGTAAAATAGGATATTTGTAAGCAGTTAAAATTGTGGTGTGCTGGAAGATGTCACAAATTAGACTGCTACAGAATACACCAAAATTAATGTTAGATTGTTTTATTTTTAAAGACCAGCGAATCTAGCTGCATGACCAACATGGATTTGCTTTGCTTTTAATTCTCTTTTACGGTCTTATTCTGCAGTGTGTGATTCTCTGCCATGGAGCTCGAATAGGATTTTTCCAGGGAGACATCAGGCTGCTTATGGATGACTTAAAAACATTGCAGCCTACAATATTTCCAGTTGTGCCAAGGCTGCTGAACAGAATGTTTGACAAAGTAAGTCTATGAACAGCTGAACTGAATTTCCTTGCTGTCCTGAAAAGTTCAAAAGATCACCCTTTGGGCTATCTATGGTAGGCCTGCATGTAGCTACTAACATGAACGTTACAAGTATGATGCCTTAAAGTCTTGCCTGTGAGGTGTCTGTAAGCTGTGAAAGTGTGTGTTCGGCCAAGAAATGAGACAATGGCTGCTGCAGATGTGACAGATTTTTTTTCTTTTCCCAGATTTTTGGCCAAGCAAACACTTCATTTAAGCGGTGGATATTAGACTTTGCTTCCAAGAGGAAAGAGGCAGAACTTAGAAGTGGAATAATTCGGAATAATAGCCTGTGGGATAAAATGATTTTCCGTAAAATACAGGTAACTATACTTGTGAAGCTTTTATACACGATGGAGCTCTTTTCAGATAAATTGTCAGTCCCCTATTGAAAATAATGTGTCCTTTAGAAAGGGTAGAAGCTGCCTGGTTTCAAATGTGCCCTATATTAAGAGAGAGGGAGAACACATGGTTAGGAATGTAGAAAGTCATTAAACCATGTTAATAGATTTAACTAAGTGCTATTTACACACTAAGGCAGCAGCTCTCCTGTGTTTCATCCAGGGGTCTTCCTTGCCTCTGCCTGGGAACTAAATCTGGGCATTCTACGTATAAAGCATGTGTTAACCTAGTGGTAAACTAGAGTCCTTCCTCAAAGCATCTAACAATAGATCATAGTTCTTTCAAATTACAGTGGTGTCTTGACTTACGAACGCCCTGACCTACGAATGTTTTGAGGTACGAATAGCTCTGGATGTGAAATATTGCTTTGAGTTACGAACGGAGCTTTGACTTATGAATGAAAAAAACAACGCCTGCCCTTTTTTTGACCTAAGTTCATCTTAGGTCAAAGGAAGGGAAAAAATCTCCCCCTAGTGGTAGAGTATGGATTAACCAGCTTTGCATTAGCTCCTATGGGAACTAATGCTTTGACTTATGAACCGTGCCTTGACATAAGGACAAAAAAATAGCTGGAACAGATTAATTGGTTTTCAATGAATTCCTATGGGAAATGCTGCTTAGATTTACGAACGTTTTGACTTATGGCCACCGTTCCAATACGGATTAAGTTCGTAAGTCAAGGCACCACTATATCTCACTGCAAATTAGAATTGGGATAAATTTATGTTTCAATGCTTCCTTCCAGGGGAGGAAAATATTATTTTGCTGCAAATTGAAAACTGATATCAAGGGCTAAAGCAGCACATTTCTTCCTGGCCTCTGTGAAGCAGGGGTTTCTTGTGGAGAACAAGCACACCCTTCATCCTGTACTCTGCTACTCCAGACTTCAACTTCCAGAGATTTAATTAGTTAATGGATCATGTAATGCATTTATTCCTCTTGTCTAGAAACAGGCGAGCATGTCTGAATAGACTGTGTATTACAGACTTCTAAAACATGTAGTGTTAAATAATCAGATCTGGGATTGTCCCTTCAGTTGAGTCAGTCATTTTTCTGCTTGATGTTTAGTTTGATGAGTAAAGCTCCATTCCCTAGGAAATGAGTTATATTATTAGTGGAGACCCCTGTCTCAGATCACACCCTGTTTTCCCATTAGCCTCAATGTGAAATTGGGTTTTAGTTCCTGGTGAGTTTTTATGCCTAATTATTGAGTGCTGTCTTATGGCTCCAAGCCACCTCCTCGCTCTCTCTCTCTTGGCTGGGTATTCCCCATGGCTCACTTTTCCTTCTCTCCTCCCTTTTCTTGCTTCTCCACTGTTATGCTCAGAGATATAAATATACCAGTCACAGTGATAGTAAAAGTGACTTATACTGTCAGGAGGTTTGGGTAATACTGGAATGATTGTAATAGTGGGAGGAGAAGGTGTAAAGTGAACCCTTATAAGTTGGAGTCTTCTATATCAGTACTTTTAACAAAACAGAAAGGTCCCTAATCTCTCTACAAATTTCTTGCTGACTAACTAGTTACCTTTTTTTATTATTAACAACAACAAAATGAACAAACAGTACTGCATCACATTTAAGATGATAAAAAGCATATTTCAGTTGAGCTTTTGTAAATTGCAATCGACTTCCTCATTTATTTATTATTTATGTCCTGCTTCTCTCCCCCCTCCCCAAGCTCAATGCACCACAGGAGGCTTCTCTCTTCCCCATTTTACTGTCATAGTCCTGTGATGTAGATCAGGCTGAGGGGCAGAGTGATTGGCCCAAGGTCATACAGAGAGTTTTCTATCTGAGCAAGGACACAATCTTATTTATTTATTTATTTATTTATAATTTTTGCCATTGCTTTCCCAAGTCCCAGTCCAACACTCTGTTATGCTACAGTGCCTCCCATTCACGGACACTAATGTTTATTTATAATTTTTGCCTTTGCTTTCCCAAGTCCCAGTTCAACACTCTATTACACTACAGTGCCTCCCATTCACGGACACTAATATAATTATTGGTTATCATCCATGATCATTCATGACATAATTCATTGACATGATGAGTGTATGTCAGAGAGAAGGTAATTAACCTTTCTACACATAATAACTTGCTAAATGAACTGGCCAATGGGCATGGTATTACAGCTTTTTATTTCCTTGGCCACTTCAATTTATTATTCCTTTCCTCCGAAGCCATTAGGTAGGAAAATAATAAATTCCACAAGCTGCACAGGGCGAGTTATTTGCTTTAAGATGAAAAATCAGAGTGCGCCTGTACCAACTGGGATTCTTTTCATTTGGTAACCCCAGTGCATAGTTTCTGGTGGAGGAGTTCCTTTAGCTAGTCTGCCTCTTCTTTTCTTGGCACAGGTTTGCCAGTTAGACTCTACCAATACTGTACATTCAGTTCTCTATGATCCATATTGATTGTTGGCCTCTCCCAATTTGAAGAGACCCTTGTCCAGCTGGGCAAGGCAAAGAGGCAGACCCGAAAGCAGCAAAATCAGGGAGCTGGACAGGGGACAGATTGTATTTGTCTTCAGTGTGGAAGGGACTGTCACTCTCAAATTAGCCTCCTCAGCCACATTAGACGCTGTTCGAAGTCCTCCATGGAGAGCACGTTACCGTAGTCTCTCGAGACTGAAGGATGCCTAATATTGATTGTTGGACTTGCTATTAACCTTAAAGACTGTCCTGGGGCTTTTCTAGCAAGTTTTTTTGTTTGTTTTAATTAAATTTTATTATCAGTCAGCTCAAAATAGCATAGGAGAACAATGCCTACTCTATTACAATAATAGTTAATTTCTTATTAATAAAATCTTATACCTTCATATATACACAGGGTTGAAATCCAATACTGAATCAAAAAACAGAGTGAACCAAGCAGACAGTGGGTTGAGCTGCTGGTTATTCTAAGAGACATCAGCTAGACATAAAAATGCAATAATGAGCTATGGAAGAAACTATGTGAAAAGATAAAGAGATAATCTAAACAGGGCTTTTCTAGCAGGTGAATTAACAGGGTGGCCAGCAATTTATTGGACATGTTACATTAATACTTCATTGAGAAACAATTCATTTTATTCATATAATTCTATGTGTTCTTTAATTACAAATCTCTGGAAACAATCAGAATTTGCACTTTTGGATATACAGTATCTCAAAAGTATGACATGTGTCATTCACTGGGATCGTTTCCTTCCCTGAAGCTGCCTGTTGATGTGAACGTACCATGGCCCACTATTTTTCTTCTTTTTCCCCCCTTTAGGCAAACCTGGGAGGAAAAGTCAGGCTAATGGTTACAGGGGCAGCTCCTGTTTCTGCAAATGTACTGACGTTCCTAAGAGCAGCTCTTGGTTGTCAGGTGAGCTTATTTTGTTCTTTTGCAAAGTTATATTTCAAGCTTTCTATGGCAAGAGCAAGAATGTCATACTTGGTTGTCAAAATAAAGGATCAAACCCCACCTACAAAACACTGTAGATGACTGACTGGATGAAGGCAGGAAAGGGAAACAATTTTGCATGTTCACCTGGCACATACTGACAAGCAGTGAAAATTCAACAGTGAAACTTGTACTTTACTCTTCCCGGTGGCTTGTGAAGTCACTTTCAGATATTCGGACTGAAGTCCTCTTTAAGAATCCCTCCCCAAACACAAGCAATTTTAACTTGTAGAGAAGAACCATTTTGTGGGAAATATGTGCTAATAACTTGATCCTGAAGCCGAGGCGCCAATACTTTGGCCATCACATGAGAAGAGAAGACTCCCTGGAAAAGACCCTGATGTTGGGAAAGTGTGAAGGCAGGAGCAGAAGTGGACGACAGAGGACGAGATGGTTGGACAGTGTCATTGAAGCTACCGAAATGAATTTCACCAAACTCTGGGAGCAGTGGGGCAGGAGGGCCTGGCGTGCTCTGGTCCATGGGGTCACGAAGAGTTGGACATGACTTAACGATAAACAACAACAATAACCTTTAAATCAGTGTGCCATAACTCATGTGCTGTGCATGAAGGTTGGTATTTCAGGGTGGGATTATGGTGGCTATTTATGTCCATTTAACCATCCTGAAGAGGATTGCTTTTGGTTAGAATGCCTCCTACTGGAAATTATCTGCTCCTGTTGTTCCCATGGTAGACAGATGCACTGTTCCATAAGGTAATCTGTTTGGCCCTGAGAACAATATTGGGTCTGGGAGGGGATGCTATGTTTATATTAAATTGCAGGATTTTTTTTTAGAAGACACTTCCATATGATAATACTGGATATCTGTTCAAATGTCCTAGAGAAACTATAAGGCTTTTGTAGACTAGTTACTATTTTAAGTTGGAAAAACTATGGGTGGTTTAACTATAGTGGACCACCAAGGATTTTGCACATGGTGGTCCTGAAAATTGCCTTTTGTTATGAGAACAGCAGAATAATGTTCCAGCAAGGACAGAGGCCCAGCTGGAAAAGCTCCAATAACTGACTTCTGTGTTTTGCTTCACAGTTCTATGAAGGTTATGGACAGACAGAATGCACAGCTGGATGTTCCATAACAATACCTGGTGACTGGACTGCTGGTAGGGGCTTCTATAACTTCTGTAGCACTTTAAAGCAGTATAAGACAATGAGTTCATTCAAGAACTAAATGAGGATGTTGGGAAATATGACTTTATGGGACATGGGAAGCAGTTCTGAAGAAATTTCATTTTCTAACTGACTAGGGTTATTCTGTTTTATCGCGTTGCCTTATTGTAAGCCTAGTGGTTCCCAGTCTTGGGTCCCCAGAGATGGAACTACAGTGGGGTCTTGACTTAAGAACGGCTTGAGTTAAGAACATTTTGACTTAAGAACCACTCTCATAGGAAAATATTGACTTGACTTACATACTTAGATTTGAGTTAAGAACTGAAAAAAACCCACGTGGGAGGCAGGGAAACTGCAAAATGTGAACTTTCAGTTAACTGTGGGTGGGGATGGATATTCCAATATCATTTGGGGTCCCAAGATCAGGAAACAGGGTAGTAGCCTCGCAACCAGGTGACACAACTTCTTTGCCTACATCTAACTGCCTACGAGGTATGCAGTGGGGTGTAGTGCATAGAGACTAGGAGTTTGAAGACCTTGGTTCAAATCCCTAATTGGCTGCAGAAACTCGTGGGAGAAATGGAATTAGTAAAAACGCTCTTTATATACCACACTTACTTTGAAAGCCCTATTAGGGTCGCTATAAGTCTGTTCCAACTTGATAGCACATAACTAACATGCCTCCTGCTGATCATTTGTGGCATATCTGTATTATAAGAAGGAAGTGGTGGAAATGGATGAAACCCTTCCCATCTTTCAGACATTGTCCTTTCTAGAAGTAGTTATTGGCCTATGCAGCTAAACAAGTCTGTCTAAGCACGCATTTACACGTTTTGGAGAAAGGGTGTATTTAGTTATCAGAGCAGACAACTAGCATGTCATTTTCTTTGTTTTTAATGAGGCTTATGCGCAGTCTGAGCACAGAAAGCCACTTGTTTTCTCTCTTATATGTAGAAGTACTCAGAATAGCTTCTGGAATTCTGAGAATCAAGGGAATCAAATTCTGAGAATACAAGCCTAGAAAGATGCATACAGTAATTAATTAGAACAGACAAATGTCTCTTCCCTACCCACCTTCTGTGCTGTCACGATGGAAGCTTGTATCCTATCATATGGACCTTCTGGCAAAGTTGTTACCCTGATTTTTCCTTGCTATCTAATTCTAGCCCATTGCCTAATATATGGTAGAAACTATTTGTCTGTGAGCTCGTGGTAGAAGAAGAAACCAGTCAATCTTGCAAGTGCCAAAGCATCATTAGCCATTTTGAGAAAGAGCAGAAGATAAGAACTTCTGCAGAATAAGTACTGTCACTGTGGTAGCCTCTACAAGAACTGTGTTTCAATACAAGCCCAGTGTGAATCAGTTCCTGTATGAGAAAATTTTCTAAAGGCCACACAGCTGCTTGGAGACATGTTAATGAGAATGGGCCATCCCATAACTGAGGTAGCCACTGAAGTTGGCTACCTAGAAAGAAATGCACTTCTAGTAGTCCAGCAGTCTCCAATGGATTAACCAGTTCCTCTGCTTCTTGGTGTAGTTAGGAAGAATGTAAATAGATCTTCTGTTCACAGTGGGACCCTTGGACAAGAGATCAAATGGGAACAGACTGTTTTTTAAAGATAGCATGGGAAAATACTCAGCATGCTGCACAGCTCTGGGATGACTGGCTCTAGTGCTAGCAGTCTTAATTTAGCTTTAAAGGGCTAAGGACTAGTTCTGTAAAAATTGAAGACTGCCATTTTTAAATGTAGGGCTAGTAAATGCCCTGAAAGTGCAATGAAGAATAATATCTGAAGGACTGCCTTTCTCCTTTAGACTTAAGAGGAGTAGACTTGACAGCTGAGTACTTGTGCCTTACTTGAAGTTTTTATTTTATTCAACTGGTAGGTCACGTTGGTGCCCCAATGCCTTGCAATCTCGTAAAGCTTGTTGATGTAGAAGAAATGAATTATTTTGCTGCTAAAGGAGAGGGTGAGGTAAGTAGCACCTTAAATCCAAGGTGTGACCATATGCCAGGAGTCTTGTCTCATGTATGTACTCAAAATTTTTCAGAAGTCATTATGGGGATGGGGTGGGGGAATTTCCATTTAGCTGAATGAATCACAGATTGTGATCTCAATCAATGCTGCACTTATTCTCATAATGCCAGTAAAAAATAAGATTAGAGATGGTCCTTCTTGGTAGCTGCATTAGCTATAATGTGAAAGAACGGCACCCTATTTCAAGCCTGTCTTTTTCCTGCAGAATTTACAGAACACATGTCACATTCTGTTTCAGGTTTGTGTGAAAGGGCCCAATGTATTCCAAGGCTACCTGAAGGACCCCGAAAAAACTGCAGAAGTGCTTGACAAAGATGGTTGGCTACACACTGGAGATGTTGGGAAATGGTTACCAGTAAGCATACCAGTCTGTTGAGTCTTTTGTGGAGCGGGACACTTACAGACTTTAGGTTTCCTCTTGACAAGAGATATCTCACTGTAATTGTATCAGCACACATCTTCTTTCAGATGTTTATATGCTGCTGTGACATTAAGATCTAATGATCTTACTTGGAAAAACTGTCCCATTCAGCATGAGACTGATTCTGCATCCTGTCTTAGTATCAGCTCTTCCCACTGTAAAACAGATGCCTCTTGTGTGGTGATAGAATTTCACAGATGTCTGTCTATGTTGTGTTTCCTTCATTTGTGCAAACTGTTTTTGGACTATATCTCATGAAATTGTTTGGCTATGGAAAAAAGGCCTGAAAGTAACAGTCCAATTGCTAATGCTGGAACTCCAGTACTTATTGTTTAGACGAGCCAATCCTCACAAGGATCAAAATTGGGATGTATATGTTGTCTAGGCAAGCTGGATGTCATAGGGGCTGCCATACATAACTAGCTGGCTATAGTGAGAGAGTAAACATATTTATTTTTATTTATTTATTTTATTTATATCCCGCCTATCTAGTCAATAGACACACACACAGGCTGGAGAGCATGCAAGGACCTATACCCACAGTTAAAATCTTATGTTCACTTGCATATATATTTTGTTGTAGAATTGTAGGCTTACATTTTACAGTCATATGTCAACTTGAGAGGAAGCACCGCTGATGTCAGTAGGAATGGTGAATAATATTATTATAGAGTTGGTATTTGCATATTAACTAGGTACATATAGTTAATGCTGCTGTACCTTATGGTGACCAGCTACTTGTTGTAGTCTTCCTGGTCCTTAAGTGAAGTCTTAAACACCAAAAAACTGAAAGGTAGCTGAGAGTCCTTAATTAGATGACAGAATGCAACAGCATCAGACTTGACATAAGTCTAAGCTTGGTGGATAACTGAAACTGAGAATTTCAGGTGAATTTCCTTCTCAAATGCTCAAGGAGCTACAGCTATCACGGGATCAAGTACAATTCTACTATGTATTTGACAGATCTTTGTCTTTAAGTGTGGCTACCATGGCCTGATCATATAATCCAACTGTATTGTATTCTGTATATAATATATTCTGGATAAGCATTTATTAAATCAATAATCTATGCTTGAAATGTAAACTGTCAGAAATTGCTACCTTTAATTCTTCACATCTTAATTGAGCATTGGCATCTAGCTATTGACACTAATGTGTTGTAAAGGAATTTTTTTAAGAAACATTAAGTAGACTGTTTTCTTATGTTACAGAATGGTACTTTGAAAATAATTGACAGGAAAAAACACATATTCAAACTTGCACAGGGAGAATATATAGCCCCAGAAAAAATAGAGAATATTTATTTGAGGAGTGAACCTGTTGCCCAGGTATTTGTCCATGGTGAAAGCTTGCAGGTATGTATCTGTTCACCTGACATGTTTAGAGTGGACGTTTTGATTATGCTTAGAAATAAAAATATGTATTTATCACTAGAAATTGTTATGGTTAAACTGAAAGCTCAGGTTAAGTTCAACTAGCAAAAATGTTATGCTACTACCAAGGGAAACTGATATTGCTACACAGTACATAGTAAACAGTGTAAATTGTACTTGCCAAAGGGATGACATTAGAAACTGATATTGCTACACAGTACATAGCGTAAATTGTACTTGCCAAAGGGATGACATTGTTGTGGGAAATTTCTACTCATTAAATAATTCCTCCTTCACTCCCATAGCTTATCCATATCACAGGTAGTCTGTTCCATTGCGAAGAAGCCACCAGATGGAAGAAGGCTAGGGAATTTTTTTATAGTTAAAGAATCCCTTCTGTCCTATGGCTCCTACATGATGAAACAAAGCAAGTCAGATAAGCCATGGGGGAGATGGGGGAAGTTTATAATATACAAAAAACTCCCCCTACTGGTGGTGTCATCACCTTTCTGCAAATGCAGCGCAAGAGGACTTAGGCCATAATCTACACAGTGATAGGAAACATTTGTCTGTAAATGTTGAACCTTGAAAATGAAAGCCATGGAATCTTAGAACATGGTCTTTTGTTTAAATATTTACAGTATATCACAGAAGTGAGTCGTCTTTTGTTTAAATATTTAAGTATATCACAGAAGTGAGTACACCCCCTCACATTTCATAAATATTTTAGTATATCTTTTCATCTAACAACACTGAAGAAATGACACTTGGCTACAATGTAAAACAGTGAGTATACAGCTTGTATAACAGTGTAAATGTGCTGTCCCCTCAAAATAACACAACACATAGCCATTAATGTCTAAACCGCTGGCAACAAAAGTGAGTACTCACATCTGTGATATACTGTATATCTCTCTTTCCTGCTTGCAATGAGTTTATGAAGGGGCAAAAATCTAAGACAATCTTATAATTGAGTTAAACATGACAAAACAAATTAAATAATTAAATTTATAAAGCAGAAAAATTTGAGAACTATCCAGATCAAAAATCTGTGTTTTTTCCCCATAGAGGGATAGATCATTTCATCTGTCTTGTAAAGGACATGATTATATGACTGTACTTTTTTATTGAGAATATAATGTATAATGATTGGTCTTTTATTTGTTCACAGCTTGATCATATCATCTTACTTTCTTCTAGGCCTTCCTAATAGCAATAGTGGTACCAGATCCAGAAGTGTTACCCACCTGGGCTAAGAAAAAAGGACTGGTGGGGTCATATGAAGAACTATGCAGAAACAAAGTAAGTGATCTCATTTCAGACTACAGAGAATTTCTAGGGTTTTTAGAATTCTTTTTCTCTTAAACAGAGGTTGAGGAAGAAAGTGTATTTGAGTGTGGGAGATATTGTCATATTTTAAAATGGCCCTTCATTCAGTACTATACAAATATTATTACAGTAAAATATAATGTGATAAAAACACTGTAGTTTTGTCACAGTAAGGGTAGAAAGGGTGGCCAACAGAACATAGAAAATAAACCAGTTGAAACTCCTTGATAAATGAAAGCATTTTGCAGTGATGGTGACTGTGCTACATCCATGAGGAGGGTATTCCACAGTTAGGGCACCACGACCAAGACAAGTCTCTATCCCCCGCACCCCCATAAATATATAACCAGTCTACGATACTGAAAGATGAGTGCTCTTTAGCACTTCTAAGTCACAGGATGGCTTGTATTGTGGGGAAGTAGTCTTGCTTCTGGAGTTGTTAACATCTCCAGGTCACCCAACGTGGTGTAGGCCTGATCCATATGTTATCTCTGTGTGTGGAGAAAATGTGTGAGTCAGACTCCACTATTTGAAGAATATACTGCTGCTGGGTCAGACTGTCTCTAATAGGTAAAATAAATACAGTGATGCCTCACAAGACGATGTTAATTCGTTCCGCAAAAATCGCTGTTAAGCGAAAACATCATCTTGCGAAACACGTTTTCCCATTGAAATGCATTGAAAACCTGATAATCCGTTCCAATGGGAACTGATGGTCATTGAAAAGCGAAAATTGCCATAGGAAACATTGTTAAGCGAAACGTGGTTCCCAAGTGAAGACTGCCGTCTAATGAAACAGAGACCATTAAAAGACTCGTATAGCGAAGCAAGACCAAGCTGTCAAAAGCAAAAAACAGGGACCTAAAATTTAACCGTTTTGCGAGGCAAGGTCCCTAACATCGTAAAGCGAAAATCGCCCATAGGAAACATCATTAAACAAAGCACAAGATTGCTCCGAAAACCTCATCGTAAAGTGAATTCATCGTTATGCAAAGCAATCGTCTTGCGAGGCACCACTGGATTTGTTAATGTTGGCTATAAATAGGTCAGGAAAATTCGTCTCCCTATTGTTGTGTAATACTATATTGTTTGTCTCAATAGGACCTTAAAAAACTCATTCTGGAAGATATGGTGAAAGTTGGAAAAGATTTTGGCTTGAAGTCATTTGAACAGGTGAGAATCTTTGTCTGTGATTGGATTATTTGGGCTGCAGTTCCTAGTTAAATTGCTATACCTGTGTAGCTTTGAACTCTAGGGTTGTAATCCTAATTTGGTTAATTAATAAACAAGAACCTTTTGTTTAGTAATGTTGTAATCTCTCAATTAAAACATGTACTAAACAGCCTCACCTGCTTTTCCTTGGTTTCACTGTTACTGTAATGGGATGGAAAAGAAATATTGTTTTGTAACAATGACTGGTAGATATTGTTAAATTGGGCTTTACCCCTGTATTAATGTGTTAGCAATATCTGGATTGGTAAACATCTCTAACTGAAAGCTCATAGATGCATTGCTCTAAGCATTGTCCCTGTACTTCCTAAATGTCAATGTGCTATCATATGTACAGTTCTTTATATGTGGAAGGTTTGCAAAGTTTGACTTAATCTTTAAAATTTTCCAGATCAAAGCCATCACTCTTTACCCTGAAATGTTCTCTGTCGAGAATGGCCTACTCACACCAACATTAAAGGCGAAGAGACTTGAGCTTCGCAAGTACTTCAGGTCCCAAATAGAAGAACTCTATGCTAATACCCAGATGTAACTGAGGAAAAACTGTTGGAGAGAATGGCACTTGCTATCAACCTTCATATCTACAAACTGAATACAGCAAACATAGAGAGGAAAAAAGTGCAATCATTAACTATATACAAAAGGGTACTTGACATAGGAAAACAGAAGAAAAATGGAACACTGCCTTACTGTCCACTTGTGTTGCAGAACCATTTTTATAGTGACATACAACTTTCTCAATGCGCCTTAAAATGTAAATGTAAATCTATGTGATTTGTAAGTTATTTAAGACTTCTTCAGCCAAAAATATGACTCTCTCCAAGGCATGTAAAGGGATATGTGTGTTGCTAGCCCTTCTGTTGTCTTTTAAGTATACTGTACAGCTGGTGGTAAACTGCCAAAAGATTTGGTGTATGGAGGTTTTTAATGTATCACAACTGAACACCAAGGAGTATCCCTTATTTGTGTTGGCTCTAGAACCTGGGCAGAATTTTGGCTGTCATGGTTCTCCACAGATGACTTGGAAGCTTTATTTTAATTTCTGAGTGTTGATGCAGACAGCTGCAAGATGAATCATCAAATATTTTAACTTTAAAATTAGTTGGGCAATGTCTTTACTCCCTAGGAGTCTAGATGAAACAGTCAATGCTACACAAGGTATGAACTCTTCATGAACTCTAGAGATGGCTGAGTCACCAGCTGTGGTGTGCTGGAGAAATCACATGGATGTGGATGAAATTCCAATCCTGGGGCTAATGTTCATGGTCATTCATGGCAAAACTCCTGGATCGTCACAGTAAAGCAGGCATGACCTCTATCATGTAACTTGCTGGGTTTTATATAATGTTAGTGTCTTCCTCTGATCCATGGGATGTGTTAGGAAAATAAGAATATCCTGGATGAAATTGATCGAATCAGAAAGTCAACACTTTCTAAGTGTATGAAAGAAGAAGAAGAATGCTGTGCAACGTGGGATACCCTTTCACTGAGGGTAAGGGAGGATATGAAGGTTATGTATCTGTGCAGTAGGACTGCTGTATCTGCAGGATCAGTACCACAGTTTCAGATATCCACAGCCTGAAAATGTATACTTAAAAAAAAGAAGAAATAAGCATTTTCAAGGTATATTACCAGAACTGGCCACTAGAGGGAACCAGAAACTGTGCTATACAGTAGGGTTTGCTATATCTGTTTGCTCTCAGCATCAGTGGGGTGGGGGTGGGGTTGAAACCAATCTCCTATAATAGGGTTTGCTATATCTGTGTGCTCTCAGCATCAGTGGGGTGAGGGTGGGGTTGAAACCAATCTCCTACAGACACCACGGTCCTACTGTATTTCTTTTTTTTGGGGGGGGGAGGAGAGGATGGAATCTAGATGCCTTGTAGTAACCCCTGCTTGAGTTTTTCCCTACATAGAAGTCATTGATTTCTGTTAAATATATGTAAAGAAGCACAACAGAGTTTGCACTAACGATTATGTGATTGTAACGCACTACCCAGTTGCATAATTTCATACATGTGTACCCCATCTGCACAACAGTTTCCAGGCCCATACTCCTAGAATATTAAGTCACTTGTTACATTGGAGTTCAAATGTTTGCTTAGTGTTGGCTATTTCTATATTTTATAAACCAAAATTTCCAAAAACCAATGAAGGAAACCAAAATAAATATTTCTGCATTTAATTTTGAGTATACCTTATTAAGTTATGCATCAGTCACTCATGTATTGCTTCTTCATCTTTTAAAAATAGGCATCACATGGCAAATGCAGTTCAAAGGAAATTAGCAGATCACCTCATTTTTTTAGATCTATCATTACAACAGTACTCTGATGATACAAGAACCTAGAGAAAGAAGTAACTATTTAGTTAGTAACCTAGTTCTTTGCAACTAGAAATCACTGATTGATTTTCCAAGGTGCTTTTTCTTTGCAAGAGTAATTCTTCTGGCATGTTCACAATATAGAATTTTCTTGGCTTACTTTAGTAAGGTTTGGGGAACAGACAAGTGTAATTTGGATGGCACGCATACTTCTTGCATGGGATCCTTATAAACCTACTACAAAAAACCTGCTAGTTACAGTCTAGCATAGTTTCTGTTATGAGCAGGAAGAAATTAGCAGTTTTGTTAAAGAAGTTGGTTCTTGGTGGTACAGTGGTGCCTCGTATTGCGATGTTAATTCGATCCAGCGAAATGGCTGTAGAACGAAAACATCGTAAAGCGATTTTAAAAAGCCCATATAAACGCATTAAAACCCGATTAATGCGTTCCTATGGGCTTGAAACTCACCTTCCAGTGAAGATCCTCCACAGCGCGGCCATTTTCGCTGCCCGTGCAGCGAGGAATCCATCCCAGAAAACAGCGGGCGGCCTTTTTTTTTTTAACCCGCCGGCCATTTTGAAACTGCCGATCAGCTGTGCGAAAATCTTCGTTTTGCAATAATCGGTTAGCGAAGCAGGTAACCGATCATCACAAAGCAAAAAAACCCCATAGGAAACATCGTTTTGCGATTGCAAAAACTTCCAAGTTATGCAATTTCTTCGTTAAATGAAGTGCTTGTCTTGCGAGGCACCACGTCTTGTGAGGCACCACTGTATAATCGATTTTTGCAGAGAACAGAAAATGCTTCTGTTGCAACTGGAAAATGTCATGAAAGAGTTAGTTGATCAATTTTTGCAGAGGACAGAAAATGCTTCTGTTGAAACTGGAAAATGTCATGAAAGAGTTAGTTGTCTGCCCCGCCCTCCACATATAAACACCCAGAGCTCACAACTGGGTTTTGGTAGTGTACATATCTCACTATTGCCTTTCTTTGGCTGTAATATCTGCAAGCCTTTTTTATGGTTTAAAAGGAATAAGAACCCTATTTAAACTTTCACTGTAGTTTATATTCCTAACTGGACATGGAATTAGAATATACTGAGTGTATTAGTTAAATTGTCAAATAGGACGAGAGCTGTTAGATAATCTTAACATTCCCAACTTCAGTTTTATGTATGTACAGTAAAAATGAGAAGACCTGTTTCAAATTACTAAAACTTACAGTATATCCTATCTGAATTTATATGTTGACTTGCACTGCAAAAGTGGCATTTATATGTTTTGGTCTTACATGTTCTAAATGATACAAAACATATATTCTGCTGCTGGTTTGATCACAAGCCTTAAAACTACAGTAGTAGCCTTTACGACTGAAAAAGGGAGAACAACTGAAGGTTAGATCAGCTTTAAACACATTCTGCTAGCTCTAGCTCAAATAATGCAAAAGATGGTTTTATTAACAGGGAATGTAGCATTACTTCCCCTACATTTCCTTTTCCACTAGCTACAAACCTCACCATAACTGACATTTTTCAAAATAGTAGGATTTTTTAAAAAAACCCACCAATAATTGTTGTAGATTATCCCAACTGTAGTGCATTTGGAGGTGCCTTAGTTGTGAATGGATAATTAAGGTTCATTAGCTTTACAAATGATCTTCTACTAGTAGAAATCAAACTTATTAGGAACTGCTGATATGGATTGGAACAGGTGCCTATATTTTGGGGAGCATGGCTGGGGACTTCCACAATCAGCATATCTGTTTCAAAAGTTACTGCTACATTATTGGGTGTCAGTGGCCCCCTCCAACTAAAGAACAAAGCAAATGAGTGCAGACTGCTCTAATAGTTCCTCCACTAGGATTGGATTGGTTTTGATACATATGCACTAACTCACTGGTTCTTAACCTTGGGTTAAAAGTTACTGCTACATTATTGGGTGTCAGTGGCCCCCTCCAACTAAAGAACAAAGCAAATGAGTGCAGACTGCTCTAATAGTTCCTCCACTAGGATTGGATTGGTTTTGATACAGATGCACTAACTGATGGATGCACTAACTTTACACTTGACTGAAACACTTCTGTTGGCTGGGGATACAAGATAAATAATCCAAAGTTGTTCTCCTGCTCCCTAGTAGCAGCAACATCTGCAATTCAAACATTTTTGGGTTCATTTCTTCCATTGTCCTTTAACCTAGTTTAGAAAAAGGCAGTTAACACTCTCTCCTTGTCCTACAACCTCAGTTACTTGCTGAAACATGTTCTTCATTTGTATGAAAACTTTAGCAGTGTCATCTATATCTTTATAGTGCTGCTATCTTTGGTGAGGTACACTGTAGTTGTTGTCTGACAGCTGCATCTTAGGAATTAGCAGCTAGGGGGTATGGTGATTATATTGTAACCTGTGTTTTCAAGTGTGCCCCTATCTGCACCATCCTCCAACCATGCCTTGGAATTTTGGCAGAAAAATACTAAAAGCCATTAAAACAAGTAGAACAAGTTTGCTAGGTTTAGATGGTTTGCTGCTGAATCTGGCAAACAATGAAAAAAATCTGCTTTATTTCATAGTTTTGGCAGCAAACCATGAACATCCTCTCTGAAGTAAGCATTTTTGCTTGTTTTAATATCTTTTACCAGTTCATTTTTAACAGTGATTTGCCACCAATTTGCAAGCATCGTAGTAGCAAAAGTGGAGGACCAGCATGCAGCACATGCCAGAGGCAAAACAGGCCCCAAGGGTCTATGGTATTTGCCCATTCAGATGCAGATGAAACGGCTAGAGAAATACCTTACGAGCCATAAAATTAAGGCTGCAACTACACTGACAAACTGAATCATAGCATTTCAACTATGCTGCACCTTGATTCACATCCTGTTTTATGCTTCTGTTCCGATTGATCACATGGAGACTGTGGATTGTTTTAGTGCATGGTGGCTCCTCAATCTGATGCAGTTTGATCCATGCCACAGATCACAGCACCCCTTGCTTGGATCCCACCCTCTGGTGATCCCCGACTCCCTCTTCATGGTTCATACAAAGACATAAACACATGCTAAGGAAACGAAGTCTGCTGCTGTTCTGTAGTCTGCTGGAGTTGTTTCTATTTCATATTGATTTTTTTTATTTTTTGTCCTTGCAGGGGTGATGTAACAATAAATATATCAATATAGTGATAAGGTGATTTAGTGCTAAACTTGGTAGTCTGTTTTTTTTTTAAATAAAAAATGCTTTGGCATGACTAGGGAGAAAGATCCAAAACATCACATCTAGCCTAGCATGTCACCAAGCCCAACCTATCTCACCAGCAAACCACCCATAGTTACACACAGCCTTTTTTTTTAAGAGAACGGGAACAACTGATCAGATGGGGGAAATCTCTTCTAATTGTATCAGTTTGAAAAAAGTAGAGGCCTTCAGCAACAGAGAAAAGAAATTATGTCAGAAGCAAAAAGGACTGGACAGATTCAAATTGGTCTGTATTATGTGATCGGTTAAGAAAATGTGAATGTTTTACATTTGCAACAAAGCCCACAGCGTGTGACCATGTAGTCACAGTCTAAGTGGGCTGATTTCACTAATGTAAACAACTTCAAAAGCAAGGTAAACCTTGGTCAAACCAGAATTAATTAATTTGACATGCACTGTAGTAATACACACATACCTCTAAGGAAACTGACCCTCAAGTAGCCCACTGGCATTGTTGCTAAGTGATTTGTGGATAAAACCCACACCTGCTCTGACATTCACTTTATATTGAATCAAAGACTGGATGCCTCATTATTTATTTATTTATTTAGAATAATGCCATTTAGTCACGTCTATTTGGATGACTTTTAGTTGTAGCCGACACTTACTACACACTTATTTAATTACCTTGTGGCTATTTGCATCTATCAAAAAGGGAAAGACTGATTAGATCAAGGGACTGATCATTGGATGCCTGCTGTCTCAAATGTAACTACTGTACAGTAGTTCTGGGCATTGTCCATGTTTATTTGTCATACTGTTGGCCTGTACTGTACTGTTGGCCTGTGGTGTGTGTAATCTCTCCTTGAAGGCTAGATATTCATTTGTTTTGTTGCTCTTTGGCTTCAAATGCTGCTGAACAGTCATCTTTATGGATCCATTTTAATTCAGCTTCAAGACTGGGATTGGGATAGATACTCATTTAGTTGTCAACAGGGTAAGGGAAAGATATGGCGCAGTGGTTAAAACGCTGTACTGTTCAAGACTGGGATTGGGATAGATACTCATTTAGTTGTCAACATGGTAAGGGAAAGATATTCCTCCTTCTTGGTTCTCCTGGAGCTGCTTTGCCCAACTTGTTAGGGACTCCACTTCCCACATACCTATATGTTAGCTGAGACTGACAGAAATTCCAGAACAAATATTCTGGAAAGCATCAAACTGGAGAT